CAAAATAATAAAATTAATCCTAAAATACTCAGAAATAATAATCAGAAATACAAAAATATAAAAAGCTAATTAAAAATATTTAAAATAAATACAATAATAAAATCAAACAATAAATAAACACTGGTTATTGGAATATTAATACAAATATTTACTGATTATAATGAGAAATATATTTCATATATTTAAATAAATATAAACACATTATTGCTATTAATAATTTTACATTTAAATAATTTCTCAACTTTACAAGAAAATAAAATACAAAAAACTATATTAACACAAAAAAAAAAGAAAGGCAGAAAAATAAGAAAAAATAAATAAAATAAAATAAAATTGGTGTGAAGGTTAGAAAATATCTTTAGTTTCAGTATAAAACAACAGAAGTTAGTGGATAGTGAGTGTGTATTCTTACTACAGGTGAGTGTTTCGGGCCTGAGCGAGGTTATCAGCTGACCCTGTAGGGAGCGAGGGAACGAGCAGCGAGTCTCCTTCACCCCGATCGCCTTCTCTTTGATCCAGACCACCAGCCATTGCAGGTTACAGTCGCACAGAAGATAAGGGCTATCAAACTCCCTAAAAATGTATACAGCATGTTCAAAAATCATAAAAGCTCCATCAGAGCCAATGATAAGATCACAAGAACATTCCTTTCGACAGAGTGTGGGTCAACAGATGCATTAAATTCAGGTCTGAGGGTAAATTCTGGATGGCCCCTATCAAGCATAAACATGTCTAGAGACATGCCAAGTGTTTCAAAACCTTATCTCGAGTGTTAATGAAGTTAATGAATATGAAGCGCGTAAACACAGACATTAATAATCTGCATTTTATTTTAGGTGGCCATTTATGCTTCCACTGTAATTTTGTGCAAATGATGCAAAGTAAAACAAAACACTTACAGTATTTTCAGAGAGCCAAGGCTGTCGAAAATCCCTTGAGAGAGTGAAGAAAACTTGTTCTCCGAAAGATTACTACAATAAAAAAGGGGGAATTAATGAGCAAAATGTACTATGCTAAATGGAAACTGATGTATCATGAGTCATTTTTTGCACTGAAAAAAACAGTAAATATCACCAACAGTTACAAAGAAATAGCAAGCAACACATGGAATTAAACATGAAAGTTTGAATTACAAAAAAAACTGAAATAGTATTGTTTTGTAAAATGTACTCCAAAATAATCTTTGTTTCAGGATTATTCAAGTTAACTACAACTAAAACCATAAAACATGTTACTTGAAATAAAATCAACTTTATATATTTATTTTAATTTAATTTCCGCTAGTTGCAACATTTCTCATTTTGATTTGGTCTATTTTGATGCACTAAAATAAAATATTAAAAATATTAAAAACACTAAATAAATAATAAAATAATAAATAAATAACAATAAACATACTAAATACAAAAAAAAAAAACTTACACTGAATAAAAAATCTAATCAAAAACTATAAAAAATACAAACAAACAAAAGCAAATGTACTAAAACGTTAACTAAAATTAAAACAGAAAATATAAAAATACATATATTAATAAAAACTATAATAGTATCTCAATAATACTAAAATAATCCTGCTTTGTTTTATCTCATTTTGTTAAAAAAATCGTGAATCGAATCGTGAAATCAAAATCGTGAATTGAATCGTTACATCCCTACTATTATGAAACATCACTGCTCTGGACATCTGTGAAAACTGCGCAAAATTATTTTAATATTTTGTGCGCAACTTTCATAACCACTGGGGCAAACGTGTCATATTTGCGGTCTAAAATGACAAAAAACAACAACAACTTAAGGACTGTAATTTTGGTCCCATTTATTCAAGTGGGATCCATTAACATATTAAACTAAAAAGCCTCATTACCAACAGTTTATGTTTTCAATTTGTCCTGTATACCCTTGACATCACATCTGTTTTGGGGCGCAATCTGTTGAGTTTCAGCTGCTGTCTTAATTGAAATGACTGGATCAGTTGTAATCTTCACCTTCAGCAGGTGAAGACGACGCTCAGTTCCTCACGGGACGGCAGCGTTAACACGCTCATCTAACAACACCTGTTACCAGCTTTAGCTTTCTGTGAAGGGTAATCAGGCTAATGAATCTCAGCCAAACACCACCAATGACTTTTGTGTTCTCATCATCTCAATCTAATATGAATATCTGCAGATAGACAGACAGACGGATCGACGGACTGATAAATGAGTATAATTTGCGATGCATTATAAGATGGATGGTATTTTACATTAAAATGGGTGAAATGTGCATTGCCAGATTAATTTTACACTAAAAGCATGCGACTTTGTTGTTATGAATGTGGCTTACGACACTATAAATAATCCATATTTACATTAATTTATTTCTTTATGATGAAAAAGCGGTATTTCGACAAATTCCCCATTTCAAGTTCATGTAGTAGAGATAAAAACACGACTTACAGTTTAACAAGGTTTGAGAGGCCTTTAAAGACGTCCACATGGAGGCAGCCGATCAGGTTTTTGGACAAGTCTCTGCAAGGTACAAAAGATAAGAGAAAGCGTTGTGTAAACTCATAAAGGCACTATTAGTCAACATTTCTTACCTGGATTTGTCCAAATATAAAGCATTTACGGAAACAGCTAATACATACAAATCACATGCAATCTGCAACATCTTCAAGTATTTTAATACTCTTTCTATCGAAATACTAAGGAAGTCCATTTCTGCCACTGCATGAAAAATAAAAAAAAAAGGTAATTGCGACATTTTCTCTCACAATTATCCTTCTTTTCTCAGAATTGCATGATATAAACTTACAATTCAGATTTTTTTTCTTGCAATTGTGATTTATATGTTGCATTTCTGAAAAAAATAAAATAAAATTGAACCGTGAAATTCGCAATTGCGAGAAAAAAGTCAGAATTGTGAGTTCAATTACTTTTTACATTTTTTTATTCAGTGGTGGAAACAAGACTTCATAAAATACAGCCTTAAAGGAAGAAACTAAATGACAGATCTATCCAATGAATTATAATAATCCAACATTATTATAACAATAATTATTTTAACCGCTGAGCACCATAACTGACAGCATTCTGGTCTTGAACTGCATTACTTTAGTATTATTTACATACAGTATTTATTTGAATTAGCTTTTATTTTTATATTTTCAGTAATATTTTTTTTAGTTCGTAATTTAATTTCAGTTTAAGTTTTTTAGTAATTTTGTTACGTGCTTTTGCCATTTTCATTGGCTGTTTTTTTTTTATTTCTAGGTTTCATTTATATTTATTTCAGCTGTACTTTTAGTAATTTTAGTAGCCTACTTCAAACTTATTTTAATGCAACATTTCAAATTTTGATTTAGGTTTTTAAGTTTCAGTTTTTCATCTATTAATTATATTTTATTTCAGATTTATTTCAAGTAATTACGACAATAAACAATACATTTTAATAGTTTTAGTTTACAACAACACAGGTCTTGACGGAGTGCAACAGCATTCATACAGCCATGCATAACTGTGTTTATTAAGCAAAACATCCCTTATAAAAAACATGAGACCCATTCACCAAACCCCAATTAGGAAATGATCTCATCCTGCCTATATTTTATTAAAACTGACAGCCAAGCAACCATTGCATCCTAGACAAAACATAATTATTCCGGTCAATCCAGCAGTCGTTCCATACAGGGCACAGCATGTTTTTGGCAAAGGTCTCTAAACCCCATTTAATCGCTCGCTTTCATGTTAAGCCACATGTTTCAGACATACAAGCATGAGGCATAAAAAATAGAGCACTATGATTTATAGCAAGCTTCACTCCAACATTCAAAAGCATAGAGAAGTGCGTAGAAAACCTTCTAAGCATAAATCTTAGTATGAATTCATCAGTCAAATCTTTACGAAGCAAACAGCATAAATGGTCTGAAATTTGAATTGAATGGCAAGTCCCATAATGTGGTTTTAGCGTAATACAAAGCCTTTGTGCGCTCCTGTATTTGACTCATGTGACTCACAATGGAAATGGAAGTGACTATCATACCAGAGGGCTTAACAGCAGCAGGAATGCAAGGCTGGTTTTTGATGAAGCCCTTGCATGAATGGTTATTCTTCATTGTCTAAAATATTATATGTTGTGTAAAAGATGAATGGTGATGGTTTTCCTTCTATTCCCTTATTGCTTACTTCTATCTATCCCTTACTAACGCAATCCCTGTGGGTGATGCACACAGAACTTGACACCACATAAATATACCCCATATGTTTATCAAATGCATACAGTACTTAACAAAACATTATGACATTAAGATTTTTAAATGCTTTTAATGAAGTCTCTTCTGCTCACCAAGGCTCCATTTATTTGAACAAAAATACAGTACTATAGCAAAATATTTTTTTTATAATTTAATATAACTGTTTTCTATTGTAATACATTTTAAAATGCAATTCCATTGATGCAAAGCTGAATTTTCAGCATCATTACTAGTATTAATGATGACTTCTGAATGATCATGTGACACTGAAGACTGGAGTAATGATACTGAAAATTCAGCATTTCATCACATGAATAAATTACATTTTTAAAATATATTCAAGTAAAATCTGTTATTTTAAATTGTAATAATATTTGACAATATTAGTGTCTCTACTGTATTTATGAGCACATAAATGCAGTCACAGTGAGCATAAGAGACTTCATTAAAAACACCTAGACATTATAATGTTTCCAAACTTTTGAGAAGTGCCGTATGATCAGGTTACAAGTTGAAAAAATTGATACAACTATTGTTAAATACTGGGCTCTAACAACTAATCAAAAAAACTGATAATTGATATTTAAAATAATCAACAAAAAATGTCACTATACAGTAGTCAAAAACACATTTCTATGGACAGAATGCATTATTACCTACATTGTCAAGGAAAAAAGAAATTCATGAAAAAATATCCCAAAAAATTAGATACTAAAACAGGAACAGACAACTGAAGACTAATTTTAACAATTATGTCTTGTATGTAACCTCGTATAAAAGTAATATAAATAATATAATAAAAGAGACATATATATATATATATATATATATATACATTTTATATTTATATTATTTATAATATTAAACAAAATATTATAAATAATATAAATGTCTCTTTTTAAAGAATAAACCCTGACATTTAATTGTGTTGATGTTATGCATATAATAATTTTACAGTTTAATAAAGTATGAATAATGCTCATCATGATCACATAAAACCGTCTTTTAGATAACAGATTAAGATATTATCATCTCTCACACAATCATCTTCTCAAGCTAATGACTAATGAATGCATTTGGTACTTAGCATCAGCAATTTCTTTTAAACTACTTTGACATTTGGCAATGTAACTTAAGACTATAAAACTGTGAAAATTCTTCATCTGCACTCTCTCAAAAGTCCTGGACGACAGAAATTCTTTTACAGGGGAGCTGCATACTTCTCCATTTAGCCAGCCAAAGAGCAGTTTATATTGGCAAGGAGTGAGTCATATTACACGGCCGCGCCATACACGCGAACCCTCACAGGAGAACGTATATAACCGACCGCTCGCCACATATGCACAAAACACGGAACAAACTCTCCTTTCTTTCTCCAACTCTCAATAGTTCTCACACACACACACACACACACACACACAGAAGTACTGGCATGTTAAAGTCGATAGCATCAGTCATGCTGTGCAGAGCGCTGTCTGGACATCGTCCATCTGGAGTGAAGAACTGCAGAAAGATGAAGTCGTATTTCTGTGGCTGCACACACCCAACGGTGAAGCTGTTTTTACTTGAATCAGAGCATTTCCGCAACAGAGGTGTCAACCAGTGCTATTTCAGTACTATTGAGTTATTTTTTTACATATATTTTAATTGTAATTTTAGTCAAAGTTTAGCACCCGCAACAAAATTACCAGTGTCAGGATTTAATCTTTAAAAAGAAAAAAATATTTAATACAATGAAATAGATATTTATTATTTATTTATATAGTTATATTATGTATATGGACAAAATGCATAAAACATACATGAAGGAAAAAATAAATGATTGAAGAGCTACCAAACACAAATAGTGATGACAGCCAGACAGACAGACAGACAGACAGACAGACAGACAGACAGACAGACAGATAGATAGATAGATAGATAGATAG